ATAACACATTTGGGTAATTAGCTCAGTTCGTAGAGTGCTTCGTTTACACCGAGAGAGCCAGCGGTTCAAGTCCATTCGTATGTATTTGTTAGTAGCACAAAGGGAGTGGAGGGGAGGTGGAGGGTAAGGGATAGAAGGAGTTCTATAGGGGTGTGTGTGTTTGCGCGCGCGCGCGCGCAGAGCGATAGAGAGAGGCTACTTCCATCGATAGGATGAGCAAAATCGCAATGAATCTTCCGCTAGAACATGAAATATACAATGCCATTTTCTTTTTTCTTTTTTTTCTTTTTTCTTTTTTGAGAGAGAGAGAGAGAGAGAGAGAGAGAGAGAGAGAGAGAGAGAGAGAGAGAGAGGACAGGGAAGTCTCCAACCTCGCGGCTGGCCTCACGCGACTTCCATCGATAAAATCCCGGTGTGAGTATGGAATAAGGAGCTGTCAGATGCAAATGTCGCCGTGCAAGAGAGAGAGAGAGAGAGAGAGAGAGAGAGAGAGAGAGAGAGAGAGAGAGAGAGAGAGAGAGAGAGAGAGAGAGAGAGAGAACAGGGAAGTCTCCAACCTCGAGGGCTGGCCTCACGCTACTTCCATCGATAAAATCCCGGTGTCACTATGGAATGAGCTGTCAGATGCAAATGTCACCGCGCAAGAGAGAGAGAGAGAGAGAGAGAGTTTTCCATCCATAGGATGAGCAACATGGAAGTGAATCTGTCGTTAGAACATGGAAATATACACTGCCATATTCTGTGTGTGTGTGTGTGTGAAACACTTTTCACCTTTGCCAGTAGCCGATGCAGATCCCAGGGGTCGATCCCTTGACCTACAGTATCTGCACAGTTCCCTGGAGTTGAACCCGTGACCTGCACGATAGCCAGTGGTAAGTAGGTCGCCGTAGGTTGTAGGCTGTAGGGAGATTCGAACTGTAGACCTGTAAGGTAGGAGTCCAAGAAGAGTCCAGAGGCCTAGCTATAGTCCTTCTAGAAGGTCGGCAAGTGGTCAAGTGGTGAGTCTAAGGTAGGCCCACGTTTTCAGACGAAGACAAGTGGCAAGGTCAACAGGTAGGACCTCAGTGCAACTGCACTGAGTCGACGGTACSACTGCCTACAGTCAGCAGAAGGGTCTAGAGAGTCCCAGTCCAGTCCAGGGGGACTGTGAGCACCAAGGGCCGATGGCAAAGGGCAGACCAACGAATTTCTGAAGTATAAATCAAGAGGCAGCGCCCAGCCATTCATTCAT